GAATGTGAAAAAAAAATCAAATTGATCCAGACCAAATACGTTTCTAAGTTTTCCATGACAAAGGAAAAATATGCATTTTGTTTGCATTGAAACAAATTGATTTGGTAACTTTTTTAATTATTTATTTATTTTTTAACAAAAAGCAGCTGAAAATGCAAGTCAAAATTGTTACAAAACAGTTGATGCCAACTTTCCTCATTTCCACCCCTGTCTTTTATTCAAAAATCGCCACACTTAGGTAGATCACTCTGAAGTAAACAGCCTGGTTTTCAGTCTTCCAGGACAGCACCCCACCTCTGAAGCAATAAAGTTGTTTGAGGTATGAGTCTCTCCTATTGACACTGTTTCACTTTGGGAAACGAGCAGTTCCTAGATCAAAGACTGAAACTTGAGTGGGTATCTCAAACACAAAACTGCATAATTATGTTATATAAAATATATCTAGCTTGAAAGTTCCAATGTAATCCCAGCATCAAATGCACTCTAGCTTGGGAGTTATGTACTCCTCTGACACGTGGGAAGAGCTTGATTTAAATCCCTGTCACTGATTCTTCGGCAAGTGAACACAGGACAGAGCTTCCATGGAGAGCAGCTCAGAAGAGCCGATTTTTCAAGAAACGATAAACATGCATCTGTGTGCGTGCTGCAACTCCTGGCCTTCTGGGCAGTCAAGAACTAGGAAAGGAGGATCTGAGCGTGAAAAGGTCTGTCCTCAGTCAGAGCCCCGGGTACACATTAAGCAGGCCAAGCAGCACGTGGAAGTAAACATCCAAATCCCCAATCCCCACCTGAGCCATGAGGGAATGGCACCTGCCAGCGTTATGAAGTGGGAGCCTTCAGAAATGTATTTGTTTGTCGGCAAGGGCAATTTCTACCCCATTTCCTCTAATGGAAGTTTCTGCCGCTCACTAGCTCGCCTTTATCGGTGTGCCTAAGGAGGTAACCAAGGCCATCTGTCTGCTCTGAGATAAACCCTGTGACCATGCCTTGACGCTGGAGAAAAGGAGCTGAACTGAGGGAAAAGGAAGCACTTTAAATGCCCCCACCAAACACCTTGGCGGGTCTCAAAGACTCAGCCTGCAGCTCTTCCAAAGGCGTTAGGTTGGGGGATCTGTCTGAAGGCTCAAATAAGGTAGCATACCTGTTTTCTTTACAATCTGTCCTTTCTCATCTGCAGAGGGAAAGCAAGTCAAGTGTGTCCTTATACACTACTTTAGTAAAATGGATGTGCAGTACACACTTCATTACAGCCACCATGGGGATTAAAAGTAACTTGAGCAAATGGCCCCCAACTCCTTCTAATTATCTTTTGAAGACACTGGAAGACAAAAGACACAAATGAGCTAGCTCAAGGACAGCAGAGTCCTCCGCATTCGCCAGGGAGCGGTGATCGTGCAGGCTGCATGAGCCTGGCATCCCACAGGCCTCCCAGGACGGTGGTGGGGACACTGCACCTGCCAACCAGGGAGCACTCAGAGGCCCTCAGAAGAAGGAGCCCCTCCATAGATGCACAGGGTGATGTGGAAAGGCGTCCAGCTTTGTGTCTGGACAATGCTGCCCTCCGATGGCACACTCGTGGTCATCGCTCAGCCCACACCTGCACGGACACCCTTGGTCTCAGATTTTTCACTTGCTCTCCCCTCAGGCTCCCACAGGAAGGGAAAAGGAGGGGATAAGCAATGATTGATCACTTATTCTTTCTGTCACAAGGCCTCTGAAAAGTATTCCCAGGTGTCAGGTCCAGCCAGCAGAGCCCAAAACTCCGCCTGTCTGGGCCCTTGCACTGGGCCCACAGCCCTTCCCAGCCTCCAGGCCCCCTTTCTCCCTGAAGTCTCTTGGCTGTGGAGCTCATTCCCTGTTAACCTTTTCAGAGGCAATGTAAGAGAGAAGCAAGAGAAGCAGAGAAGTTTAACTGAGAGCGTAAATATTCTTTAAAGAAAAAGAAACATCCAAATCATGGTAAGCACGGTTCTTTAAGAAAGCTCCTGACCACAATCACACTCTCCCTACTACAGGGATCATGGAGACTGCAACCCAGCCTGCGTCCTGAGGCCTGGCCAGTACTAAATCACCTTCCCTCTGATGGGAGAATAAGACCTCACTTGCTTAAAGATGATTTTACTTTGAAAACAATTTCTAACTCCTTTCTGAATTACCTATTGGCAAAGCTCTTCTTTTTGTTGCCACAAAGTGGCTGCAAGTGGCTGTAGTTTTCTGGAGACCCTGCCCACACCGCCTCTTGACAGCTGTGTATGAATTCCCTTCAATATAATCACTTAGCCTCGATGGCCCCTCTTTGGGTTTTCCTCAACTTACTAAAACATCTTTCCACTACAGTGCCAGTTTCTACCTGAGTCAGTCAAGGCCTGTTGTTTATTTGTGGGACCTGACTTCAAGTCCTGAACATGTGAAGATTTATTAGATAAATACACTGTTTAGTTTACCTGAGACGTGGCACATAAGACTAAAGGCAGCAGACTCTGCTCCACAGACTCTGCTCAGATCCAGTCGGTGCTCTGGATAACAACTGTGTATTTTGTGCACTTAAGGAAGTTGGTTGCATAAGGTGCTCAGATACTCAGATGGCTCAGATATAAGGAGCCACTTTTAGTTAACATGAAATACGCTTCTACCTCTCCCTAAAATCCCCCAAATACCTGTGAAATCAGTTCTCCAACACAGAAATAGGCCTGCCTTAAGCCACGCCAGCCAGCTTCCCAAATTTACTGTGGTGGGAGCTCCATAGTTCTAAAGCAAACATCTAGCTATATATATTAAAAAAGTAACTGACTGTGTGTTTGCCATGTGCTTTCTCAGATGCTTCTCATAACTGGAGTGTTTCCAGTGTGCATATATAGTTTATATATGTTTATAACTTCATAAAGTTTTAAAAGATTTGGCAGTCTCTAAGCCAGAGCTGTGATGTAGGTCTAGTGTGTGTTTATGGGACCTGAGCTGAGGATCAAAATACTGGGAAGTTTCAACTGCCTTTATGGACTTGCAGGTGGACCTAAGCAGCAGCCATAACCCAAGTGAAGAGGATTTCTTATGTGTGTAAGAACCCAGGTTTTCTACAGCAACAAATTCCTGACTGAGCCTAACTGTGCCTAACTGTAAGCACTCAAATCACCAAATCCCAGGCAGTGCACTGTTCCCAGGGACGTGCAGAGCCCCCTGGCCATCACCTCCCACTGCCACCCTTGGTCTCACAACCCCCCAACTCCTCTGCAGCCCACACTGCTTTGCATGTGACATGAAACTCAAGCTTCGTGCCTACTCCATTCTGCAACCTCCAGCATGCCCCAGATGCCATGGCTTCAGCCAGCTGGGAGGTTGCTTTGCTTGTCTTAATCCCAGCCTTGCTGTGCCCAAACCATGAGGAAGGGAGAGAAGGGAGCATCAGCAGCTGCCCTTCTAGTTGTGGATGTAGAATTTGTCTTTAGTCTCCGTCAAGCTTTGGCCCCACATCCCACCCCTAAACTTCCCTGGGCTCCTCTGCAGTGAGTCCTACTGCTCCCAACCTTGCTCTGTCCTTGAGCAAAGCTGTGAGCAGTGACACACTCCACTCTGTGATGATTTGTCAATTGGATCTTAGAACTCCGTTTCTGGGAAGAAAAAAATCACTTTGCGTGATTGTATAATATTCCCTACATGTGCTACTATATACAGTAATATTATGGCTGTACTATCTCCTGGTTTTACCACCCCACTGTGACATGCTCTTGAAACCTGAGAAATTGCTTTTAATGACAGGCAATAGCTGGCTTCAAGCAGGCAATTCAACAAGCAGTGGAGATTTTGCATATAAAGCTATTAAAATACAAGGTAACATGAAGGGTCAACTTCTTCCCACGCTGCTATAGCAAGCAGTGAGAAGATAAAGACAGAACACATTTCTGTAATGAGCTAATTACACTTAATACAAAAGAGCGTTGGGATGTCTACTTGGAGAGGCTACATTCAACACTGATGGATCTAAGAATGCTGGACACTGTAGTTTGCATTCCTTACAAGACCTGAGCATCTGTTTCAAACCATTTCCCGACAATCTGATTTCCCCCTTGAAATTTCAGATGTAGGCACCAGTTTTGTTTCCCCTCACTACCCTCAGAAAGTGAAGAATGGCTATTTTTATTACCATTACAAAACACTTTCCACTTAAACCAAACTTGTGAAAACAACAGAAGAATTCTATTGCTTTTAGATATTATTAACATTGTTATTTTCCCATTTTGAGAAAATACCTTCTATGAATATACAGTTTGAATTCATCCCACAAACTGATGAACTGACTGCAATCATAGTGTTACTACGAAACTGACAAAATGTAAATAATTATTTCAAATGGTAAATATACCTGGTCTTTTACTAATGGTGCACTGGCAGCATCCTGTAAAACAATAGCTATCATTTTGAAAAGACCTGATCCTCAAAATGCCATTTGCATTTCCCTACCTGTACAAAGTGAAAGATTTCAGGAACGTAATGGGAAAGATTATGTCAATTGTTACAAATAGTTAAGCAATCAAAAGTTGCTTTTGCACAGGGTTCTTCATCTTTAAAGTGCAAAGAAGTTCCCAGAAGCAGACTATGAGATTCCCCTGTTCTTTAAGCAAGTCTCAGCAACAGACACTGAAAGCAGCATGCTGGCTCCCAGCACACTGCTGTAAGCATTAGGAAGTTTCCTTCAGACAAGGAGGCAGAAATGTGCTAACTTTTGCTCCCTGTAACATCAGAGGAATTCTAGCGTTATAATTAAGGTGACGACACAACCTGGTCAGTCAACCATCTCTTGTCTGCCCAGGTAATTATATTTTAAATGTTAAAAGGCTCTGGTAAATTGGCAGCCACATGAATGCGTGGTTTGTACAGCACATCCATTTGCCATCTTAAGGTGATTAATGTAATTCCCAGCCCAGGAGAGGCTAGAAGATGAGTTCAGTGCAGCCACTGGTACTTACACGCAACTGACCAAGACAAATAATCCAAGACATACATACCCACGTTAGCCTTCATTTCTGGAAGACAAAGGAGTTTAGAGAAGAAGCTGTATAAATTCCACTACAGACACATCCTTACATTTGGCTGAATTGACAGAGGCTGTTTTATTCCACAAGGCCTCCATAGGATATTAACATTGCCCCTAAATAATTTAGCTGGACAATGAATCAAGAGCAAATGCTTTTCAGGACTTGTATGAAGGACCAGGAGAGGAAGTGACATGTAATGGCTGGGGATTTTACATGCAGTTTAGCACCTGACTTAGCATGTGATGCTGAGCAAGCTGAACAGTGTTTCTGGTCCCCTGTTTCCCTGTCTTTAAAAGGAAGATGGCACCGAGTTCCTAGATATGAGTTCCTCCTACTGAGGCTCTGAGGCTCAATGTTTGTAGAATAGATTGAGTTCTTTGGAAGAAAGACATACAAAATCATTATTGATCCTAAATGTTTTGTATACTATGGTTGCTGCACTCAATAACACAATCAAATATAGAACATGTTTCTGCAAAGCCAGCATGTAGAAAATTCTCTATTGTCTCTTTCTACTTTATCAAGCAGTCCATGAAAATCTTTAGAGTCCCAAGTCAATACTATTTAAAACATCAAGACTGATTTTATCCTCCACATTCTTTGTAATTTCTCTCTCTCTCTCTCTCAAACAGGTAATAGCCTTATGGGAAGAATGCCTTCCCTTCATAATTATAACACACAAAGCTTCAGACATGCACATTTTAGGTGAAGGCCTAAAATTCTGAAGGCTCTTATTATCCTTCCAACACAAAGATACTTTCCTGGGGGCCACTGCTTTTGTATGAAAGGATGTGTATTTTGTTTTCTTTCAATGTTACAGTGAAAGACAATGTCATGACCACCTCATAGGCTTACTAGTCGTACATTTTATGAACAATCAAATCCACCTATTGTATGAGTGTAGTTTTATTAGAATATGAGAACCCATAAGGATGGTCTAGGAGCAAACTAATTATTCTTTCCACATAAACAGTTTCCGCTGCATGTCTCTTGAAGTCAGAGGGTGAGCACGTGCATCTTGCCAGCCCTGGAAATTATTCTAAATCAGTTCATCACATTCCAACCCAACACTTCTTCTGATTACAAAGCTAATAGCTTGAAATGGACATTCTAGAATTAACCCTGTGACCTGCTTAATTGGTGACAAGAAGAGCATCAAAGTGTAACGCAAGCACCAGGCTAAGAGTGACAGCGCCTAGCGATTCTTGAGGCTCCACTACTTGAAGCAATACTGGAAAATAGAGATAATTGTAGGTTTCTCATTTCTCTTTTGGCCTGTGAAAGTTTGCTTTCCATAACTGACTTTCAGATGCTACATATATATAGGAAAATATCAGTGATGAGGCACATGATGCAGCTTGATCAGGCACTTGGCTAGTTCAAAGGCACAAGGGAATTTCTGAGAAATGAATGTAGAAGTCTTAGGATGGGACAGTTATTCCGAGCTGCCCAAAAACTCCTTTAGGCCAGTACCTGAATGTTTTCCATCAGCCCAGTAACAGATGACATACATGTAAAAGTAATACAGGCCATGGAAAAATAATTATTTCCTAGATGAAAAAAGTCTTAAAAATTCATTTCCAAAAACAAGCAAACATGAAAAACCCAAATCCTAATTTAACAGACAGGCCGTAACCTCTGCAGGTTTAGCTAGCTCACCACAGACTCAAATGAGCAACCATGCTGGTACAGCAAAGGGGACAGGAACACACAGCTAGGAAGCAGCAAAAGGAAGTGGGGCTGTGCTACTGATTCCATGCGCCCCTAAAATGGCTTATTTGCAATGTGAACCTTCTCCCTGACTGATACCCAGCCTATCTTTAGAAACGTGCAAGACAGGAATCAACTGAATGAGTCTTATTCTCTGAGTATAAGACTTGACAAGCCTGAGTGTGGGTTTTAAATGCCTGAACAAGGAAGGAAAGAATGATTCTGGTGATGAAAACTTTTGGTACGATAAAAAAAAATCCAATCTGAAGTCACACTGCAGAGCATTAAAGATGCCTTTTTATCTTTGGAATTATTTTACAGTTAATTGTATAACAACTCTAGAAATAAAGTCTCTACTGCATTTATTCTTGCTTCTTGGATTTGCAATGGGGAGGGTTTAAAGAACTGTATTTGATCCATTAGGTTTGGGAACTCACAGTACTGTACATTGTTTTAGTGTACTAAATTTAGTTGACTTCTGTCTCTTTCAATTACCCTTCTCAAAAGGACACGTGAAAAATAATGTCTCTCTTTATATCACTTGGTTTGCTGTTGATTAATTCTTCTCTTCTAGTGCTTGCTTGTTTTGTAGGGTAGGGAGGACAGAACAGCTTAACAGGGGAAAAAGCCTTAAAAAAGCCCTTTTTTAGGAGTTTGAGCTTGTAGAGTCTTTCCTTTCATATTTATATCTCATCAATAAAATGTCATTGTTGATCAGGACACAAAAGTCAGAAAGAGAATAAGCTGAATCTTAACTCTTGTAAAACAGGCCAGCTGTAAGAAATCCTGAATGTAAAAATAAATTCCTACGCAGGATACCCTCGTTGCTAATGTGAAGCAAAACTAAATATGTTTTACATATTTAATCTACTGACTTATTCATTTTTGCCATAGCGAAGAACTGTAAAGGAACTGCATGCCCTAATTCTTAAAAGAACTGTGTTTCCCATCAGAGGTACTCGTAGACATTTCAGAAATAGTTCAATTCCATTTGGTATCACTTATGGTATGCCCTCAGTACAGCTATGTACAACTCCTAACACCCCTCCACCTCTCAAAAGGAGGTAGAAAGTAGGCATGAATTCTGGGGCAGGTCTTGAACTCATCTTCTTCTTTGCAAAGGATACAAGAGTGGGAGGCAAAGGGTTTCTGACTGTGATGTCCTCCAACCATCAAATAGTAATCAAATACTTTGATAAGAAGGAAGCAAAAAGATGAATGCATTTTAGTGATCCGTTTAAATTTCCAAAATAGTAATTGCTGAACTTGACTGCTCTCAAAAACCTTGTTCTGAAAACAGAAAGAAGCAGCAATGATTTGCCCTGAGTTTCTGCAGAGTCTGAATGATCAAAGACACATTGAATTTTTATTCTCCAACCATTTTTTTAAGTGCTCAGACTGGGCTGACATGCCAGAAAGACAAAAAAAAAAAAAAAAAGGGAAAAGGACTGTTGGAGAAGAAGAAGGGCTCCATTCAGAAATTCAGTATTTGTTTCCAATTTTTCTGTTGGAAATGTTAGCCTTAATACATTTGATAGTGCTTCATTAATTATCAAGACTAACCTACCACGGAAATCTAACATAGAAAATTTGGCTGTGATCATGTTTGTTTGATTGATTCCTCTGAAGAAATACAAGGCAAGAAATCCATATTCTGTAATAAGACCTGGAAGAAGTTATGACAGGGATGAAATATTTTCTAGTGCATCCTATGATAGTGCTAGTGCAATAAATTGGGTTCAGCTGCAAAGGGGATGATGATAAATATAATTTAGATTACTTCACTTTACTTTTGTCAAATAGGCTGGACTCACCAAGGACAAGATTAGTATCAAAGGCAAAGGTGCTGACATGGAAGCCTACATGGAATAGTTGGATTTTATGACTTTTTGGAGCCAGGCATCTCTGGAGCAGATACCCTAATGTCCCTTTATCCCATCCACCTACCATAAGTTCTCTAAGCTTTCTCTTGATGAATGTCTTCTTCAACCATTGGGACATCACCAATCACATTGGGACATCACTGGAGAAAAACAGACCACTAGAGTTGGTACAAGTGTAGGTAACTGGAAATACCCATAAATTCTGCTATAAGGTATTTAGGTATGCAATTCTGATAGTCTTTTGTGGGTTTAAATAACCTGCCAGCAGATTGTGCACTAGAAACATGTCACTGCATGTGATACTACAGCAGGTATGTTCTTGCCCATAACTGGAATGCACCTATTAGAGCAGAGTTTAAAATTTACCAGTCCAGAGGATATCTTCTTCAAGTTGTGATAAAGGCTAAAAAAGAACAGAAATCTTAATAGAGATTCATTATTTTTTTCTGTATGAACAATGTATTTAATGAACGTTGTTTCTCAGTTAAAGCTCCACTTCACGAGCAGGCAATCATTCTCAAGACAGTAAATGATGCAAGTCCCTTTGCCACCAGAGGTTCAGATCTTTGTTTGGCTGGTGTTCTACTAGACTGATCAACTGTTGGGCACGATATCCCCTGGCACTGCTGCTGAAGAATTCCTACATTTAGAAATAAAACTTGCAGTTTTATGATGTCGGATACTCTCCATTGCTTGCTGCTGACCTACATGGGCTATCCATGCATTCAGCAGGTTTCCACAGCAAATAAGCTCCCAGTGGAATGTGAGATGATATGCAAAAATCTTTGTCCATCTTCCCATCTAGATACTTGAGAACTCACAAGATAATTAGAGACTTATTAATCTATGCTGTCTCTCCCTTGGGGAACATTAAGGCATTAAGAAACTCAAACACTTGTGAGAAGCCATACCAAGACAATGTATCTCCACAGAAAATTATCGTGCCTGCAGAGTAAAGGAATACTCTGGTGGTTGAACATCAGACAGTAATATGGCAATTGGCATCTGGATAAAACTGCTTTCCAGAAGAAGTCCCTTCTTCGGTACAATTCTTTCATTCCCAGTTTGAGTGTCTTTTAGAAAAACAAATAGGAGAAAGCACTGTGAACTCTTGGCTTCTCTGATGAGTCTTTAGATGTGGCTGTGCAGAGAAGTAAAAGAAAAATAGATGGAAGAGGGAAAGCAGTATCTGTAGATGCCACAAAGAGATGGACCGAGGAGACGCAGGGGCAGAAGAGAGGAACAGATGGATGGAAAATTAGCAAACTGCAGAGCAAAACCTTGTCCACTATTCCTGTCCTCTTGAGGACTCCCTGCAATATCACATGCCTTGCCAAGATGGGAAACTCACCTGACTCACAGTGACCTAATGGGTTCCCCAGTACCCATGAAGGACTCACTCTTTTGCTTCCACAAGGCTCTGAACATTGCACACGTCCCATTAGAGCAATGCTTTCCATATCACCTGGAGTTCTCTGCACTGAAAGCAGGAAGAAATAAGATTGAGCAGGACTGCAAGAGACAGATGAAGGAAAGAAGGTGGATGGTTTTACCTTTGCTTTGCCAGGCAGACATGATGAAGAGGAAGCAAAGAGGAAACTGCTGTTGTAGGAAAAGTCCACACCTTGAACCTTCATCCCTAGGCAAGGAG